AAGAGAAGAGTACTGGATGCATTCCGAAACCTGCCGATACGAATACCTTTGCATAATGCTACAGGTCAAGCTTTGAAAATGCGACTTAGCTACAAAGACCAGTGGCTATTTTTATCAGAGATATATTTTTCTTCAAGTAAGAATTAATTTTTTGATTCATTTTATTAATTTTTGTTACTCTGAAATTTAAATTTTTTCAGCAAATTATTGAATTATATTTAATTCAAAGACCGTTAGCTTAAGTCATTAATAAATAATGCGTGTTTGACGTGTCGAATTTCCTAACTAAAATCTTTGAAGTTCGAGCGCTTAAATTGTTATCATAAATTAGATCTGGTTCTGAATGATATGCAAATTACTATTTGCAATATTTCCATTTCACACTAAATATCTTATCTTACTTTTACAATTTAAAATATTAACCATAATTTTTTTTGGCTGTTTTACTTTACTTGGTTTTATTTAATTATTAACGTCCTTACGTGAATTTATTTAAGTAAACATATTAAAAATTCAAATAAGTATATTAAGAATCGTAATATGCTTACTTGAATTTTTGTAAAAACTTGACAACTTTTATTTTGAAAAAATTTACTCTCGTTTTTAAAATGAAATAATGCAAAAATTGTTAGCCAACTTATTTGCAAAACTTTTATTGCTCTCACCAGCATGTAAAATTCTAAATATTTGTAAAACGATGTTTAGCTTGATAATTAATTCGCTTACTTATTTGAATTTTGGCATTGAATATAATTTAATTTTCAAAATTTCGTTCTTTAATCTTTTTAATTATTTAAATTTCGAATACAGTTATTTTTCTAAATGAATTTTCCACTTCTATTTTTTCATCGTACTGCGCATTCTTGCTGAAGTTAACTTTTCTTGCCTAGTTCAGCATTCCAATCAAATGTAAAGTTACTCAACTTATTTGCAATATTTTTATGCAAAATTTATTGATGCCATTTTATTTTATGAATGACTTGAATTTATAAATTTGAAACTGAATTTCTTCCAAGTTCTTTTAAGAATTTTAAAAAATTTTGTCGCTTAATCTTTTCAGTCATTTAAATTTTGAATACAATTATGTTTCTAGATGAATTTTTCACTTCTACTTATTTTAGTTCATTTAAATAAGCTCAATTTATTTTGATACTGTTTTTCGATTGACCTGATAATATAGCACAGTTCATTCTTGACTTCTAACGCATTCACTCTTTTTTTTGCTGTTATTATTATTTTTTTTTTATAAAAATGGTATGAAATTTAAAAAAAAGGACAAAACAAACTTAGACTAATTGAATTTCGACAGTTATTAAAATGAAATATAAAGTAGGATCAAGGAAAAAATCTGATATAAATGTCGAGGGAAGTACTTTAGGCTTTGCTAAAAAAACTATCGAATCAACCAAAATTCTCACCGTCTCCACCATAACTTCTGCTACGGTTATCACCTTCAGTTCCAGTTCAAGTTCAGGTTCAGGTTCAGGTTCAGGTTCAGGTTCAAATTTGGCTTTGCCAATAATAATCATTTACACTCACACACATTCACTCTCACCGCTTGCACATATTTGCATTCTAACTTTTAAGCTTAATTTGCTTAAAAATTAATTCTTTGCTAATTTTGATATTTCTATTCAACGAATGAATTCATTGCTTATTAACAACTCGCTATTGCTGTCATTTTATGCTGTCGTCATTTGTGAACTCAAATTTAAATTTTTTCATTTTTTATTTTCACACTTAAAGTCTTTTTTTTTTGCTTTTGCTTTTGCGCAAGTTTTTATTATTAAATTTGTAATTTTTGACTGAATCTATCAAAATGTTTTTTAAACGAATTATTAACCTTTTAACCTTTTCCATAAAACAAAATTATTGACCTTTTAACCTTTTCCATAAAATACAAAGAGATTCTAAATATTTTTTTGCTTTCACTAATCGACGTTTTTCTCGTGCTTTTACGGATTTATAACATTTAATTTAGATATATTGTATAATAAAGACTTGATTAAATGATTATTTTAGATTAGAATTATATAAATTTCATCAGAAAAATATATTAGAAATAGTCAACTAGCATAAATTGAAAATGTATCGGTTTATTTATCTCCAAAAAAGGCGTGAGGTCAATTTCAATGACCTCATTAACTTTAATTTCTGCTCGTTTCACGTTTTCCAATATTTTTTCTCATAAAGTACATACTCTTTATTAACAAATTTAGTATTAGAAATCTTCATTTCCTGCTAATAAATGCACTACTCGTGACCTTTTGTGCCTATAAGTGTTAGAAACTGTACTAAAAAACAGATAATGAAAGATTTTATGACATAAAAAATTCTGACATACTAATAAATTAAGATATTTAATTGAAAACAATGAAAACTTTAAATTTTCAGCACAATTTTTATTTTTGATTTTATCAAAAGTTTACGCTTAAAAACAGCTTTCAAAAACAAATCTACGTGACTCTCATCAGTCGTTTTCTGAAACGTCCGTCAAAAATTTGCAAAACAAACTTTTGCAAAATCTCATTATATTGCAAAAAAATCAGAAAAAATCTTCACAATATTAATGCTAACAAATTTTACACGCTTTTAAACAAAAAAATCTCTGCAAAATTTTCAACTTGTTTTCTGGCTTTACTTTCTGTTAATAAAAAAAAGTTATTCTGCATGCTAATTAAAGCTTAAATTGTATCTTATCACTTAAGCCGATAATAATTAGTATGCTTAATTTGTTTATGCGTAATTTATTTCATAATAAACTGTGGAATAATATCTTCGCATTTGAATTATAAATTTTATATTTCAGGTCTTTTCAATGTGACTTCACCTTCAACTGCTGAAGAAAGTATTAATGTATTACCTGTCGTTTACTTCATTGGTTCGAATTTTTAATAAACAAACTAATTTTTTAGATTTTAGAATGCCTGATTACTTATAGTATCAGACTGAATTACTTATTCTTTGAAATTACTATTTTTATAATCAATTTTCGAATATTCATTAATAATTATGAATATTATTGCAATATTCGATCAATATTATTTCATTTATAATACACTATCATTGTGCTATAATATTATTACTTATATTACTATAAATATAATTTTTGTTGTCATCATATTTTCTTTATTTTATATCAGTTATTTAGCAACTTAGTTGTTTTCAAAAGATTTGGTCATTTTTCATAAACTCTCAATAAATTAATTGAATTGAACTTTGCTGAAAGCAAAAAATACAGTTCAAATTTGATAAATTCAAAATTAATTTAAATTTTTAAAAAAATGTTTAAATGCTAAAAAGAAGTAGAAGACAACTTTGTAGAGGAAAATTAATAGGTTTTATAATTAATTTGTCAGTTTATTTACTGATTAATAACCTACAAAACACTGTTGCCGCGAAATTTTGTTTTTGATTTGGTTTTTTTAGGTTTGGTAATTTTATTTTTACTAATAAGTTGTGTAATATGTGGAGTTCTTATTTCACGACGACGTGAACCAAATCCAAAAAATTACAACGCTGGAAAAGCTAAAGTAATGATGACATGTATGGATGAAAAAGGCTTCTTTACTAATTTTTGTGACTCGAATGAAGCTGAATATCATCAAATTCAAAATGATGGATTTTGTATTGAAGAGAAGTGAGTTTGTACTATAATAATTAATTGAAATAATTATTTTACATAAAAATTAAAAACAAATTGCAATGAACAAATTAGCAATAATTTATTTCATTTCAGTTAATCATTTCCAATTAATCATTTTTAAATATTAATAATTTTCAAAGACAAAAAATAAGTATAAGTTTACTTTAGAAAGTTAGCAACTGTTGGTAAACGAGCAAAAAAAACGCCATCATGGTCAGATTTCCATTTTCCACCTCCACCTTCAGGTAAAATTTGCATGTTTGATCTATTAAAGTTATCTCGCACATTCGTTAAAAGATATAAAATCAACGCTGATTGAAATTGTTTGACGTAACGTCACTAACGAAATTGAAACGCACATTATGAATAAGTAATTTGTACATTAAATTTTTCTGATATATTCGAAAAAATTTGATCCAAAAAATTAAAAAAAAAAAGTACATCAATTTGCAACAAAAATTTGCATATTCAATATGAAATGATATTTTTTACTATGAGTGTAAGTTTGAAGTATTACGTCAATTACGAAATATTGTTTAAAGTAAGTGTCGATGTACATTGAAAATTGACTTAAAAAATAACTCAAATTGAATCATCGAGTTGAATCAAAAACGAAATTTGAACTGAATCATTGAAAAAGATATACTGAAGTGACTCACTAAGAAATATAAATCAAAATTGTATTTCGAATTAAAATTATGTTGCTTCTTGATAAAATATTTCTTCGAAATTCTTCAAATTCTATTAAGAATAAATTTTATTGCAACATTTTTTAGATATGTGCGGTGTGAATGAGTCCACAATGAAACCATTACTGATACCACAAATAGTTACATCATCCAATATCAGTAACAATAGACCACCCCTACGTGATTATCAAACGTGTCACAGAAGGTCATGCAATCTCATTTCTTGTAATCAACACGGCTACTTTTTACTCGATTTTTAAAACAAAGTACAAAAAAACTTGTTAATTTTCTTCATAATTTTTGGTTGCAGTCATGTTAATAATCCGGTACAATACCGAATCGACAACGATGATAATCTTCATTACGCTACCTCGTCTGTAAGAATTTCTAATAGGTAAAACCATGCTTGATTTTTAAACCTATGTAACACCTTCTTGACTGGTATCTTTGCAAATATTATGTACAAACTATTAATTTTAATATTCTACCTAAAATATGCATATTTTCAGTAAACATAGGAGAAGATTAAACCGAGTAAATAATGATCAAGTTGTATTAGGATCAGAATTAGGTCGTGGCAGGTTTACAGTAATCAGGTCGTGCTCCATAGCTGGTAACCACTATGCTGCAAAAATAATTATCGACAAAAACAAACAAACAATGTAATATTTTGCTTTGAATTTTACTTTAGAAATCAGTTCTTAAATATTTTTTATTTATTTTCTATGCTTACAAAAATAAAAAAAAAGAATTAGTAAAAATAAGTGTTTAAAATTTTATCCTTTTAGTATTTAAAAACTTAATTACTATAAAATCAAAAATTATAGTAGACTGATTGAAAGTAAGATACCGAATGATATAAAATTAATTTCTGCTTAAAGATGAAGCACTGGTTCACTCAGTTAATTTTACTATTACTTTGCATACTTTATCTTGAATTTATTTGTGCATATATAATTATTTCTAATGCTGTTTAATTAACTTTTATTTTGAACTATTAAGCTACTGCAATTATGATACTTACAATGGAAAAAAATTTTGTTCTGAACATATATAAGGTCAAATGTCAGCACTAAAGTAAAATAGTTTTTGGATAAGTAGCAAAATTAATACTCAATCTTCCACTGCTCATAATTTTGAACTAAAATGAAAATATTCTGTCACCTAATTCATTAAAATTCTTTTCAGCCAGTTTTACAACTTAATAAAATAAAAATTACAACTTACTTTATGAATTTTAGAAGTGTGCTTGAAGATGAAGCAAAAATTTTGTCAAAAACTGACCATGAAAATATTATAAAGGTTAGTGGGTCAAAAATTTTGCTAGCATATATTTTAAATCTCTATAAATTACGATTTTATCAATTTATTTGTTTAAAAATTACTATTAATTTTTTAGTACTGATCAAAATTCCATTTAAAAGAGTTCATATTTAAATTATTCCCATCTGTTTTAATTTAAAGCATCGTAAACTTTTACCAAACTGTGCTATTATGCAAAGATACTATTCAGTTTTGATATTTAGTCATATTTTAATTAAATTTTAGCTCTATGGTGTCGGTGACGATTTGACGATTTACTTAGAATTGGCTTTATATGGAGATGTACGACAGTACTTAGCTCATAATTCTGATGTTAGGTACAAGTTTAATATTATCATTAACTTTTCTATCTCTAAATATAAATTCCAAGGATAAAAGAATTAGTGTAATTTTTGGTGTTTTAATAATTTATTGCAACTTTACCAATCAAAAAATTTGAACAAAATATTTCTCATTTTCAAAATTATTTGTAGAAATGAGATTCTGTGCTTTCAGTTACTTAAATATGTTGAAATTAGCGGTCGAAGTAGCTTCGGGAATGAAATATTTGGAGCAAAAAGGAGTAGTTCATGGGCATCTGTCTCCTCAGTGTATTTTGATTAGTCATAATGCAGAAGTCAAGATAGGGTCACCACGAGGTCATCTTCATCATGCTCAACTACGTTATAGCGCTCCAGAATCAATCATTGCTGTAAGCTTACATTGATAAATGCGCCTTAATCAGTGAAGAGAAATAAAACTGACTAGCATTTTTGCATACTCAAAAATAAATGTGAAATGAAAGTTTTCAAAAGCAAAGTAAGGAAATCTGAACTAAAATTTCATTCCAAAGGACTGAAGTTTCAGACAATAAAAGAATAAAGTAATCGAAGAATTAGACTAAATCCAAAGTTCTTGAGCTCTATAATTGGAACTGACAAACTAATTCAATGCAGTGAAAGAGAAATTTTTGTAATCTCAATGAAATAAACTTTCAAACTTTTGAATTTCAAATATTTAATTTTAACAAAAATGCTTTGTTGTCTGAATTAAACGAATTAGAGAGTTTATGCTTCAGAATCTTTAATATAATTTCTCAAAAAAGCATTTATTTCGTGAATTTTAAAAATGCGTGATTAAAGATCATAACTAAGAAAGTCAAAGGTAAACGAGCTCCAACTATAAGCCATAAAAACTTGGATATTATAAAGTGAATGCCTAAAAACTGTTCGCCTAATATTAAATTTCACACATTATTATTATTTAACCTTTAACCCTAACTAAAAGAAACTAATCTAACTAAAAGAGAGATTAGTTTAAAATTTTTGCAGAATGAATGGAGTAACAAAAGTGATGTTTGGTCGTTTGCAGTGACAACCTGGGAAATTTTTAATTACTGCACTGTAATACCATTTGCTGAATTGACAAATGCTCAATTACTCGAAAATGCTCGGCATATTTATGATGGATATGAAGGGGTTGATATTTTTTATTATTCGTATTCTATTTCCAATTAAAGTTTTCTTTTTCCACAAAATTCATATCTTCACTCCAATTTAATATGCTTAATTTTATAATATATATGTATAGGAATAATATTTACTGAATTATATTAAATTCCCGTACTATATATATAGTCATTCGGCAAAAATTTAAACTAATGCTTTAGTTAAGGTTAAAGGTTGAATAATAATGTATTGATATATTAATACATATATAATACTAAAATTTGTTGGTAATGAAACTTGAATGTGCAATTTAAAATAGCATAAATTTTGCAATAATTTTTATTTAAATTTTTAAAATGATTTCAGATATATTTGAATCTACCTGTAAGCATTCCACAGCAAGTAAAAAGTCTTCTCAGTGATTGCTGGCAAAGAAAAGCAACAGATCGTCCAACATTCCTTGAAATTCATTGTATTTTATCAATGAGGAATTCTGGTTTACCTATTATTTGTCAAAATGGTAATGGAACTATTTTACGCTCTGTTGCCATTTAATGCTTTAACATTTCTACTTGAAAAGATTTATCAAATTTGGTAATTTTACCAAGTTTGAAAGTCATACAATTTAAAATCATGCAATATATACAATTCTTTTTAGCAATCTCATAATTCGTTTGAAAGTTTGAAATTCAATAAGTAGAAATTATTATCAAAGACAGTATATTTCCAGTTAGTGAGAATTAAAAATTTAAATAAGAAAACATAAAGTTAGTAATAATTCGTAAAGACATATGTAAATGTAGTTTGATTTTATTTCTATGAAAAGGAATATCAGTGAAAAAAATTGTTAGTTATCTTCACTTGACATTTTACTTCTTATTCTTTGACCCGATCAATTCTTTACCTCAAATGATGATACCAGATGGAATAAAACCTTGTTGAGAAACACGAATCTAATCGAAAATTTTAATATTTTTTCAGGCTGTTTATAATAATTACGAGTAATATTGTACGTGGAAAAACATTGCTTTGTTTCTTGTTTATGCAAATATTTAAAACTGTTTAGAAATTATGACCTATGACATTTCTAGAAAGTAATTCACTACAAATACAATATGATAAAAAAGCAGTAATTTAAAAGTTAATAAGCTCAAAAACTTTTATTTCATTTTAATTAATGCGTAAATATGAATGTATATAATAATACCTTGCTTTATGGAATTAATAAATGTATTCTTAAGCCTTAAGAAATTCGGTGATAAAAATGACGGCAAATTCTAATTGCTAATGAAAAATTGAATAATGTAAACTTTTGACAATATTATTAGTAATTTGATAATAAATGTTCGGTCATAATTTTGAGAAATTAAAAGTATGAAGCTATGAATCCGAATCCTCCACAACAGTCATAAATTTAGTGAAACAAGCGGAGTGATTGCAACGAAAATAATGATTTTGGATTTTTAGAATCATTGTTTGTAGCTAGCATTAACCTAGCGACTTGCAGAATATTTTAGTCTTTACGTGCTCAAAGCATTCAAACAAAATGATAGCATCCATTTGAATTCAAAATTTCTCATAAATGACAATAATTTTTTTGAATTCGATATGACTTTATCTTTCTTAAAGTGGTAAAAATTTTGAAAACTTTCATGACAAAACACATTAGTCAAATCTGACATTTTCAATTGCAGCAGTGTTGTTTATGATAAGTTTAAACTTTGTAGCAAAAAAATCCAAATGTTTTGCACACAAATACTTTCCGTAAATGCGTAGTTTTTTTAAACTGTTGTCATAAGATTACTAATTAATGGTGGAAAGATTTTTCCATAATAATATAATAATAAAGTGCTTAATAATGGTTAAAAAATAATAATAATAACAATTATAATAGTGAGGTGAGAATATATCCTCGACACCAATAAGTCAATCTTAACTTGAAAAAATTAAACATCACGTAATTTCAAAACACGGTTTTTAGCTGTAAAACTTCCATACTGTATCGCATATAATATTAAGATTTATCACTTCACACACGTGACTAACGGGTAATTTAGAGCTTGTTGAAAACACGAATATGTAAAGTATTTATAATTTTCTTCCAAATTTCGCTTAAAAGAAGCATGAAACGTGATATCAAAAACTGCAGCCATTATGTCAACAAATTAAAGCGAACTGCAATTAATTACATACGTTAACATTCTCAACAGCTTACTTTACTTCAAATTAACTGTAAACTTGCTGCTTACTCCACAAGAAGTGACGCTGTATTACTTCATGCATATGTAAGCAAAGAAAGAAAAATGTAAATTATTTTTAAGCAAATTTTGTGGTGCACAAACGACTAGTCAATTATTAATTAATTATTATTTTCATTCTATAAAAGAAATTTTTGCATGTTTCAGAAGCGACATTGACGCAGCCTGCTTTTTTGAAGTTTCCCGCTTTTTTTCAAAAATTTATTGATCTAGGCTATGCGTTACATAATTGCCTGCGAACATGAAAGTGTACATAAAATTATTTATACATATATATATGTGGTCTGTGTGGGGTATGAGCAGCGCAGCGAGGGATGTAAACCTTCCCTCGCATTCAATAATGTCAGTATGTTTGGAATATTCTCCACGTTTCTTTCCTTCCAATAAGGGGGACGTGACAACGAGTGTCACTCTCCGCGCTTCATCGATTCATTCTAACAACTCTTCCCTACATAACGCACACGCACGCACGCACACTCAGGCAGACACTAATATTTCATCATTATGTCAATAATTTTGCGCAAAAAAAAAGCATATGTTGTTTATTTATATCAATAATGATGATAACGATGGATATGACTGCAAGAACGATAATAATGATAGTAATGATAATGACTACAGTATTAATAACAGTAATAAAAGTGGCGAAATTTAGTAGGTATAAATGAGAGTAATGGAGACTTGACGTAAAAATGAATTAGCTATAGTAAAAATGGAATGTGTGAGTTGTTATATTTGATCATTCCCAAGCTGATATAAATGATAATAATAGTGAAATAAAAATAGTCTCATAACAATACAAATTATGAATAGGTATGATAGAGAATGAGGGTGAGTGAGAGGTATGGAAGAGGCATTGCGAAACACGTTTACGAGGACGTCAAGAGGAAATTGATGGGAGAGAAGGGTGACGAGCGTTTGCATAGGATGGCACGTCACGAGAGGTTACACTCTGTTTAATAAAGCAGTATATATACATAGACACGCAAATGTATATACATACGCGAGATATACGTGTACAGACACGGAAAGTGAAAGCAGACACGCATGAAAACACCACGGTTATAGGCATACACGCACGCATACACAATGAAGAGTACGACAGGTGCAGGCAAACACATTCACGCAAACACGCGGGAAAAAAGAGGGTGAGACAAGCAGTGAAAAGCATTGATCGTATGTGGGTATGTGTGTATATGCATACGTGAAAATAACAGGATAAAGAAGGAGAGCGCAGACGAAGACACACTCACAATGGCGCAGCCAACAAACGACATGTTGACGTACGCTGCGCTGCGGACACGCGCGCGCACGCCCCATTCCATTATATCACAACGATCTTCTCCTGCACATACGACGGCGGCGTCAGCGGTAGCACCCGTAGCTATCCTACTCTCTCTTTTATTTCAACCTTGTCATTGATGTTAGTCACTTTCATTCCTGTGCTTTTACGTATACGTTAATTTGTGCTCTTATGTTATTACATAACCAAACGTTTCAATTGTAAGTTGATGATGTAAAAAAAAATCATCACCTAAATTACCTACAGTAAACATTTTATTTGCTGTCCTGCAGGCAAATATTCCAATTACAGTTGAGATTGTCTCGAATGTTTTTTACTTTTCCTAAATTATCCGTGTTTTGGTCTACCTAGTCGGAAAGTGACATTGATTACGTCATGTAGTATTAAGTGAACAATATTAGCCCAGTATTTAGGTATTATATTTTCAGTGTAATGCGGTTATGAGAATCTTATTACTTTCTCAATCAGTGATGAATCATCATTTCACGTCATAATGCTGCATCATTTTATGTCAGTTCGTGATTACGTGTTGCTTCAGTTGATCATATTTGATGTCTGATATTCATAGCATTTAAATCACGAACAACTTTTCTAGTCTGCATAGTGCTACATTTTATATCAGTTGTTTTATTCTTTACATTTCACGTGATTATGAATTAGGTTTTTCAAACTCTGCATTTTCTTAATTATATAATTTATTTTGTCTTTGCTACTTTGTTTTGGTAAATTTGAGCTTCTTTCAAGTATCATAAATTAATCCGAAATGCTTAAATTTATTGACGCGTATTATTACCTTAACGAGTTATCGTTAATTCATCTTTAAACTGCGCTGCTTTGTAATCATATCAAATTTGCAGGCTATTAATTTTGGAATTTGTTTTGCTTTAGATATATATACCTATATATTTATATATTCATATACATATATTATCGCTTGTAAAAGAAGCACAAAGCATACTAAATATGTCTTGCAATGGAACAGATGATAGTGATACCAGTACAGCTATAGATCTCAAAGCTCCTATTTTGGAGGTAGATTTTTAATCTCACATTTTTACTTGAAATTTTTGGTGTAAATAGAAGAAAATATCTTTTGATATGTGAAATTTAATTATTCGTAATCATTAACTTTTCTGTATTTTTGCGCTCTCGAACATGAGTTTCATACATGAAATTCGATTTAAAAAATTCTGATTTGAGCGTAAATATTTTAAATTTTTTGGGCAATTTTACAATCATTAGTGTATCAGAGTTTTATAGGTTAAATGTGGGCATTTAGTTGCAAGGTTACATACTGAAAAATTTGTTTGCCCAGGAATACATCAGCCATGTATTGAATTGGATGGTTTGTTTTTCTTTGTATCAGATTTGCATCGAAAATCTTCAGTTTGGTAAATATATAGACTATTTTTACACTTCTGGCCAGTATATCAGATAATTATTTTTTTACTTAAGCAGTAGTTCGAAATCATTACAAGTTCTCGAGTAACCTTTCCCTCTCTTTCGTTCGAGTTTTTAACTTCTTCAGTGATATGCTGTAGTTACTCGTTGATTCTGTAATATTTTAGTGTTTTAAAGTTTTAGCCGAAGCATGCGCTTACTCATTTATTACTTTTTATTGTTACTGATCAACGTTTGTAAGATTTTTCATCTTTTATTACTCACATATTATTTGTTTCTTAAACTTTTTTGATTAGGTGAACTAATCAGTCCAAAAGAATTTACGATACGTGCTAACAAAGACAAACAGAAAGACTGGAAAGGAAGCATCCGTATTGGGAAATCGAATATGAGGTAGTTAAATAAAAAGTTGCGACATAAATTTTGAATAAAAACATATTTGACGATATCTTTTTGGGAATTTAGTAATATAATTTCGATTTGAGAACTGCTAGTGATGTAATAAAATAATTTCCCTAAAGTCGGTGTTTTGGTTATCGTGGATTATTGAGTAAATTTTCCAGTTCCGTTTCACTAATTCGTGTCTTTTTCAATTCACAAATTTTTGAACAGTGTTGCTCATTGATATATTTTGTGATGTTTCTAAATCATTTAACTGTCACCAAAGTTCTCAGAAACTTAATTTTAGAATTTTTCAAAGAATGGACTACTGAGTAATATTCATTTTGTAATGATCTCTAGTAATTGTGAGTTTTGCTGGACTAGTGTTGTTATTTTTCAGGGCACTGATGGAAATGAAAAGTTTGGACTTTTACAATCACGAAAATTACTGCAGCGCGAAATGTCAGTCTCGTAATTTTATGTCGTTTAAAAATCACTTGACAGAAGCATATTTAAACGCTGATCTATTATATGGAGGAACGTCTTCATCTTATGAAGATGATAAAAAGGGTATCATGAGGTGACTTTTCTATTTATAAAAACGTGCTGATAATTAGGATCTTATTTTCTAGACCAAAAAAGAGTGCCTTTTTAGCTTACTCTGAAATGTTATAAATATGTAAAAAATATCTATCATATTTCTTACATATTTAAATGATCTCAATACAAGTTAGCCATAACGTACTTAATTTTCACATGTAATTGTATGAAACATTTTTTTTCAGCCTTTATTCACAAGTGAATGATCGAGGGAATTCAGTTGTTAATGGTATCCTTTCTTTGTATTCAATTTTTTTTGTTAAATTTCCCTTTTGCAAGCTCTTTATTGCACAACTTTTTTATTTTTTTTTATTTTTTGCAAAGCTAGTCATTGTAGCATGTCAGAGCTAACAAATATATAATAATAACATGATTATGTTTTACTCTTTTTTTCTTCAATGATTACCACTTTTTCAGCTATAATGTCGACATTTATGAAAGGTCAAAAATTTGATGAAGATCTCACTCCAGTAGAAGATGATACAGTGGGTTCTAGTAATAGTGCGATAATGGTCATGAAAAGCCGTACGTTTTAGATTATTTTGGGAGGTTATTCATTTACAAAAAAATGATTGATTCTTTCATAAATCACTTCTTTCCATTGACTTTATTTTAAAATCTCAGAAATAGTCATGAAAGATTTATAAATATTTTGAAAAATATTTTTTAAATATGTTCAAGAAGCAGCCATAAATGCCTGTTTATATGTGGACTGATTAAAATCGGACATTTTTACTGCGGTATGCTAATAAGTGTAATGTCATCTTTGAAATGAAATTATATACTTTTAGAACCTATCAAATTTTGGGCTGGTATGGAAGAAATGGGGCTTTTGAGTGATTTGATGGATGTTATGATGACTTCAATGGAGCATCTTCGTCGTCTTGCACTAATGGGCCCTTCTCAGAGAGATGCAGGTATTTTTTATGCTGAAACTTTTGTCCTCTGGGCAGATAGCTACTATTTTTTAAACTTGATTCATAGTGCACATATATTTCAAGCAGAACGAATTTTTTGTTCCTGCTTAATGATGCTATTAACTGTGCTATAAAAGATTACCTTTCACTTTTCACTCTGTGAAATAAAGCAGAGTGATCTTATAGGTCAAACAGCTTAATTTCAATGTAGAAAATATGATATGAAAGACTTTGTTTCAGTTGCTGAGAGATTGACTCGAGTTGCTGGAGCCTTGGATCTGGAAGAAACTATTGGTTCCAGAATACAAGCAGAACGTCTGAATTGTACTGTAGAAACAAGTTTATTAAGCAACGAAATACAGGGTGAATAAGCTAAATAATTATGTACCGTAGAGTGTGGGAATCTTTGAACGTAAACGAAATTAATTCAATTTTCATCATCAGCTTTTTGAACTGGTTGACCATAGAAACAAAATTAGAATTTTTTAAAATAAATAAGAGTTTTGGATATTTATAAAGTATTATTAAGCAGAACTGCAACGAAAAACCGAAGTGAGTTGGCGTAGATTAGAGGAGTCACGTCGGAAGGCATCACGCATTGATGATTTATTCTGTGAAGATTCTTCGCCTGGTGTTCCTGAAAAACGTCGACGATATTCCACTGTAAATTCTTCAGCATATGTCGCAGCATCAACGTCTGGACCTACTTCTGCCACAGCAACTGCAACTGCAGCAATCATCGATGAAAACAATGGGTTGTCGTTGGTGGATCAGTGAATCTCATCAATTTTTCATGTCGCGTTATTTTTTATTATTTCTCATATTATTGTTCTTTGTTCAATGTTTTCATATGTCCATAAGCATCAGATTTGAATTTTGTTCTGTTATTAAGCTATTAATTGATCTAGCCGTCATATGCATTATCATAAAAGTACTGGAAGGTGCTTCTTTTTAAGCTTTACCTGTAAAATCCTATCCGTTTTAGGTAGTTGTTTCTTTTTCCTGGAGACAAACGTCATATACAGTTGTGTTTAAGAACCGGAGAAAAGGTTCGTTTTAAGTCATATCCTTTGTATCCTAGTAAAGCATACTATTGTGCTTCCATTTTGTTCCTGTCTCGAAGAACTGCTTTTCTTGCTGCTTGTCTAGTGATCAAATTCGTTTGCATGATTATTGTAGTGAAATTTGAAGAATGACTTTATTTTCGTCCGAGTCTCAGGAGTAGCTTTTATTTTATGTTTCATTTCCATGTTATTTAGGAATGTGTTTCAGTCATTCAAAGGCTTGTAAATTTTTAAAGCTTTTCTCCAGACATTTATTGAATAATGACCTAAGGCTTTAAATTTATCTGGTTGCAGTGTAGATACTAGCAACTGATTAAATTTAAATATTTTGTAGAATAATATTTGCAAGAGTTGCTTAATGTATCGACTAATAGTAAAGAGTCTGGTTTTCGTAGTTTTCAGATTAATACAGTGAATGATTTTAATTTGAATGATTACGTTAGAATTAATATGGTGAGGGAATAATTTTCATTAGGGATCATCAACATTTGTTGAGTGATTTTAACCATATGTTTTCCGCAATTTTGAAATATAGCACTTGACACTGATATGCAAATCCACCTTTTAAAATATGTAATATCGAGAATTACTTTAATTGCCATTTTGAAGCGAGTCAAAATAGTTTACATTTTCTATAATTTTCACTTAAGAAAATTATTTGTCCAAGTCTGAAATTTGTCTGTACCATTTATGTTTCCAGCCTATTTTCGAAAATTTTTAAATCTGAATTTGTACTGTGATAATTTTGAGTCGAGTGCTCGCAAGAGTAATTTTTGAATGCAACTGTGTGATTACTGAAAGCATAAGAAATTGTGGTGCACAGCGAAAAAAGAATAGCATCTGCGATGAAATATGTAAAGTTTACTGAATATAGATATAATTATGTTATTGCACCTCTAGTTTTTTATTTGATGTTACCACATCCCATAAAACATTCTTGATATTGGCAAATTTTATATTTTGCTCAGACAGTTTATTGTTTGAATATATGAAGTGTTGCTTCAATCATTTTATTTTGTTCTCATGCTAGGTAGTAGAAAATTGTGATTCTTATGTAATTCTAAACATATTAAAAATCATTAATGTATTTGGCTAATTTTGTCGTCTGCCCCGAATTCATAAATCTAAGCTCATTTTTAGAAAGGCTTATCTTTACAAAATTGCTATAAACTATTTTTATAGTGCACTGTTGATTGAAGCAATCTGTGAATTCGCTTTTTCTTTTGCAAAATTTGGATCTCTTTTTTACTATTATTGTATGCTAAAAAGCTATTTACAGGTGATAATGCCTATTTAACTGTTTAATTGCAATTTATTTTAATATGTTTTATGTTTTTATACATCATTAAATGTTTTTACAAGTATATAGTCGCTCTGGTTACTTGGTATGGAAAATAAATGAAGCAGTGCGACATATTGGAAGCTAGGTTTGGTATTTGTGGATTTCATCCTCCAGATTACAGTTTGTCGACAAAAGATGTCATTTGGTGTAGATATTGAGCTCTACACGTTTTTTGTACAGATTATGCTCAGAAGATCAAGTCCATTGATATACTACTACTGGCATATCATAAGTACTGTTTAGAAATTTATAAGTTTTGGTGGTTTATTCCCTTATGACATTTGTGTAAATTAAGAAAATATGGGACCCAGTTATGTAATTAACTGGGGATAGTATTTTGAATACATGTAATTAACGTCTGAGAACTACATCTGCAATTGCAGATACTGGCATGCATCTGTTTTTTAATGAAGGTGTATTCAAAATTTTTTCAGTAAGCCTAATTTCACATTCAGCTTAGAAGGAAATTTCCCTCCAAAATATCACTTCGTGCTATAGTATCCCCACTGTTTTCAAGTAAGATTATTTACAATAGCTAAACATTAGATTTCTGGAGTGCTATTTCAATATCTTAATTCTGGTACTGTGAGAATACTTGAGCGATAAAATAAATGAGAGTATTACAATAGTTGTCCTTGATGAAAGAAATAATATTTCTCATAAATAAAATTGAGAGTCAGATTTAATGTTATTAGAATTTGTCGTATGACAAGCAAATATTTGATTGCTACGTCTACATTTTGAACTTATGCCACTACAGAATTTTGATTATATAGTACAAAATAGTTTTACGTGTAATTTATGTAAAAAACGTTAGCTAAGAATCCATAAACTTTAGATAAATTTAATTTTAATTTAATAATTAGTGAAAAACAAGCACACATGACTATTTTTTTACCTTCGGTACTTGTTTACTACCATTTTTAGTGTAAAAACAAATACATAACAAACTGCGCAGTTAATCATAAAATAGACAGACGGAAAATTATTGTTGTTGTTCATTTGAAAAAACTCAGTAAATATATCAAAAAATTTAAAAGAAAACAAAAAAAGAATGAGTGAAACATTCAAAATGTATGAATAACAATTTTTTGCTACATACGTTACTGTAATGTACAATAATTTCAATAAGGTTATTAAAATACCGAATAAAAAAGGCATTTTTCTAAATTAATTTTAGATATAAGCAAAAGATACAGTTTAGATAAAAAGCAATAAATTAATTACAATTTTGAAATATTTTTATTATTTAAACAAAATACTTAAAGCATAATTATTGCTAAAAAAAATAAAAATCAGAAAGACAGTATGAATTTTTTAACAAGCAATTTTGAGACAACACACGTGAAACGGCCAGTTTGAAATCACGCAAATTGCGTGTGATTTAAACAATTGAAAAAATATTTGACTTTGAGCAAATTGTCATTTCTATAAAAAATAGCAATGTTTTTATGAATAAAATTTTAGCAGAAAAGTTAAATTTTCTATGTTTTTACGCAAAATGAAAAAAATATTTTTCAGAAATATTTTTGCGATTTTAAAAAATATTTTTTTTCTGCAGCCTTACTGCGTGTGCGTGTTTTTTTCTTAATTTTTAATTTTGCTATTTGTAGCAAAATTTAAAATAAGCAACTTGACAATATTTTATTGGAAAACAAGTCACGTTTTTTTCAAGTTTTGTTATTCTTAAAATGACATTTGAGATTGTTATAAAAGAGCGAAATTATGTCAGTGTCATTAATATTTGTTTTTTAGAAATAATCATTTTTGCAAGACGTGTATTTTTCGTGTTCAGTTAATTTATTACTTTACTTTCATTATTCATTACAATCTTTTGATATTTTTGCTTTTGTAGTAATCACAGAATAAAATAATCTCTGAATGATTGCTCATTTCAAAAACATATTACTGCGTGAATAATAATGAGTAATATTAACTGTTTATTAATAAATAATAAATATTTAGTAATGGTCAACCAACAGTTAACTAATAGTTGGTACAGTAGTGATAAACGATAATAATAATAATAATGTTTATAAGTGATTACTAAATTAGTGATAATCATCGAAGGAATATGATCTAAATTACTGCGCAAAAAAATTTTGCAAAAATGATTTATGCAAAAATTACTGCACAGTTGATTATTATTAGTCAAATAGCTACAACAAATTTGTTGGTTATGATTAGTTTCGTTGCAATTTTAAATCTTTATTGCTAATCCTTTAATTGCTATTCATTAAAAATTGTCATTTATTGCATAGTTATTAAGAGATATCTAATTAAGAACAATAATTTTTAAGTATTAATAATTGAGTAAGAACAGAAGCATAATCGTAAAATTACTTGTCTCTCAAATATTTTGAATTTTTATAAAATCTGAAATAATATTTTTATTTGAAAAAAAAACAGAAAAAGTCTTCAAGTGATGCAAATTTTCACGTGATGAATAATATTTGGTTTGATTATAACTGATCATGCACAAGTTACTGACTAAATTTAAGGAAATTTTACTCGATTTCTAGAAACTGTAATTACACGTATCTTTTACGCAAAAGAATACGATTATAGAAAGTATAATATATTAAAAAATTTGTCTTATTTCAAATTATAGCACAACTTGCTTGTTTGATAATTTCACGTGATAAGATAATGAAACTTGCAATTTTCGTCCTCGTTATCTCCGTTGCTGTTCTCACAACACTTGCTGAAAACGGTTAATCATATTACTCATAGTATTTTAATATTATTTGAGACATTTTGCTGAATTAAAAGATAAGTAAATATTTTATTAAAATGAATTTTATGAGAAAGTTCAATTTCAAATAGATTTTCGTGTCTTTTTATTTAAAAGTATTTTAAAAAGTTAAAATTAAGTATGCAAATTCAAAAAACGCCCTAACTTACTTATACAAAACTTATCATGAATTACTTTCGAACAGACTTTACTTTTTAAGTTTTCTAGAAGAAAATACTGGGAATGACCAAGCGAATTCCAAACGAAGTGCTGAACCTGTCGCTAAACGTCGAGAAGAACGAGCTGCGTTAGTGATTAAGTTTATTTACTACTTATTCAAGTGATAACATTATATATATACACTTAATCTATCGTTATTACTTCATCATTTTTGTTAATCCTTTCAGTACTATCGCAATACTGCAATACTGAAATTGCACATTATTTTAGCATCAATTAAGCATTGATTAAAATTCTAAAGAGATTTGTAATTTTGATAAATAAAATTCTATAAAAGAACTACGTCAGTCGAAAATGAAAGTACTTTTGCATCTACACTGAATACTAATAGCAATGGTTATGGTAATCGTAAAAGTAATAGTGATAGTTATTAATAATTATAATAATGATTATCATTAGGAAAAAATTAATTATCAATAATAATAATGATAATTGATAAAAAGATTTTTCAATTTCTAATTCATGAATTAAATTAAATAAATCAATCCAAAAAGCGATCAGAATAATTAAATGAAAAGCTTTTAGTGCCGTTGGCTATGATCCTGCAGTGATGGCACCTGAATTAAATCAAGATTCTGGTCTATTATTCCGCCGAAAAATTCGAGCTGAAGAAGGATGTTGTTGCTGCTAAACAAAAAATAACACATTTCAATTATTCAATTGTACAAATATGAATAAAACACTGATGGCATTATTTCATTTATGCATTATATATTTTTAATAAAAATGCAATTGATATGATTTTTCTATAAATCGCAAAAGTAATTAAAAACTTGAAAAGTTTTAATTTTGATTAAAAAAATATCGTTAGAAAATAAAAATCAAAGTATATTTTGACGCAATTTTTTCATAAATAAACAAACATTTTCAAATTTCAGAATCAATAATTGTCACTTTTATCAAACAATTATAATAGTATTTTATTTTTGAATATTTTCGACCATTAAAAGGCAAATTTTAAAAGCAAAGTATAAATGAGTCAGAAATCATATAAGACCTCATCATTACTTCACTTCAAAACAGCAGGAGGTTGTTATTTGATTACAATGAATTATCAAAGAAGATTTGATTATGAGATCACAACTTCAGAGCTTTTACAGAAACTGAGGTGCGTGTACAGCATTTGAATTAGTCTAATTTATTCAGAATCCTTAGAAGTTAGTACTCTTTGATAAAAGATTTTAGCTATTTGAGTTCTTTTTAGAGGGTTTAATTCGTTTTCGACAGCGAAAAACGCATCAATTTGCGAAAATAATCAAATATTCAACAAAAAAGATATAAATTTCTTTTACTGCAATGAAATCAACGATAAAGGATTTTAGCTATTTAAATTCTTTTTTGATGGGCTTTAATTCATTTTCGACAGCGAAAAACGCATCAATTTGCGAAAATAATCAAATATTCAACAAAAAAGATACTAATTTTTTTCTTTACAATGAAATCAACAATAAAAGTACACAAATTTTGTATGCTTATTTAAATTTTTAATATTTCGTTTTTATGACTCATAAATATCAGACAGTTGTGAATATTCAATATTATGCTATTCTATTTTGTAGTTATTTTTAATAATTGCATTATAATAATTCAGTGGCATATCATACATATTTGTTGGGAATTATTTGTAGAGCAATTGGCAGAATAATTCTAACGCAATAATCTATTATGCATGAATAATCAAGCAGTTATGTTAATGATAATAAAAAGAGATAACTTTTTCTTTTCTAATTTATTCACAGTCATTTTCAATCATTTCAGCACATTAACTTTGCTTAATAGTCCCTTTGCTACTCCAATGCTAGAAAAAATTATCTTGATAATGATAAAAATAATGATGATAATAACAGTGATAATAATAATGATTATCATTATTTAAAATATAATTGTAATACTAAATTTGGTGTCTTTTCAACTTAGTAAAAAGAAATGAAAAGAATATCTTACGACGAAAACAAATTTAAACGGTAGTAAAAATGCCAAAGATTTTTGTTAAATATGCTCATGAAAATGAAGACAAATGATTCAATTCATATTAGAAAAATGATATATTTCAGAAATTTAAATGATGAAAATTCATATTTAAAATGTGACGAGAAGGTAATAATTATGTGTGGTTTTTCTGAAGACAGTCATTTGTGTTATCATTTGCATCTAAAAAATAATCACACAAAGGTTATCATTTGAACTTTCGTCCTATTAGCAAGCAAATTTTTTGCCTAAGTGTTATTTGAAATTATTTTTACTGTCACGTATAAATTTGACAAAAGCGTGAAGACTATAAGATTAAAAAATATTATTAAAGAACGACAAAAATAGTACTCAAACTTTAGCCAGTAATATTTAACGTCGAACGTCCATGTGGTCGTGCATTTGGTGCAACACCTCATATCGGTGTAGTAATGCCTCAAAATACAGTAACAATTTACTGTACTTTTCGCTCAGAGCGTATTGCTAGAGTGCCTGATGATGGTATTCATATCTACAGTATCTTTCAAAAAGCAATAAGTGAAGAAATTTTTGCTAATACAAAAAATGAAAAAGAAAAGGAGCGAATAGCTCGGAAGGTTTTTGTTTTCAAAATCATTCAAAAATTTATAATTTTTTCATTCAATAAAGTAAATTCTTGTTTTCAAAAGTTTTTCACAACAATAAACATTGCTTAATTACGAATAAATTTTGAAAGAAAATTATAAAGATTTGGTCAAGTCATCGAGGGAAATGCATAGAATGCCTTCGTCTACCAGTTGGATTTGAACCACGTCGACCTCCAGTACACGAACGTCACGTTGATGCGTGTGGTGATGAAGTTGTGAGTAATAAATTTCGCCCTAATATAAAATTGTCAAAAGAAGAACTACCAACTAGTCAATTACCGTCTGCAGAAGAAATATGCGAAGGAAATAAGCATTAAGATTAAGCACACTGCAAAATATTTAGTAAGTGAATACATACGTCAAAATTAATGTGTACTTTAAACGTTACAAAAATTGTTATCATTTGAAATATTAGAACTCAATAAAACAGAGAGAAAATGAACAGATTTGGAAAGCACTCACAACTGTACAAAGCATTTCACTTACGTTTACGTTTATTTATTTGCTTTTATCACCACAAGCACTGACACTAATGTCTTGTGTTTCCCTTCTTTTGTGGACGGAAATTGTAAAATTTTTGCATTAACAAATTAAAGTAATAATCAAATATATATTATGCTACTTTAATGATCAAATTTTAATCCTTTTAACGTAATCCCACGTAAAACAGAATTATGAATTTTTTGATTTTTGTTATATTTTCATCAAGCTCCGCGAAATTTTTGTATGATCTCTGATAAGATTAAAAAAATCCTTTTGCTCAAATCTATTTGTCATATTTAAAATTAAATTGATGACTTTTATTTAATATTCATTTTCAACCAAACCTTATAAATATTGAAAAAGTGACCTCTTGAATTTAACTTAATGTATTTAATCATTTGCGCGTAAATTCACGAAGATATGAAAACTTAGAAGTATAATATGCATAAAAGCAACGGCAGGTCTGATTTATATTACACAACAAGTAATATTCTCTTCATATCAATCATTTTCATCAGTGTCAGTCGTGAAAAATTTGCCCAAACACATTACATTACGTATGCTTGATAAAATCATCATATAACGCGTATAATATATTATGCGTGAAATAATCGGTACATTTTTGCAATAATTACCATATTATGTGTTAATGACTATGAAATATTATTTAACGTTTGTTAGAAAAATATTTTGATTCAAGTATGAATCAAAATATTTTTCTAACAAACGTTAAATAATTATGTCGTGTATTCAGGAATAAGCAGATGATTTTGCTCCAAAGCATATAAGACGTAAGTTGGAAATAAGATATGAGATGAAGTTGGATATAAAATCTAAGTTGAATATAAGACATAATTTGGATATAAGATTTTTATCATCATTATTTTCATAAAGTAAAAGTTGCTAAAATTAAAATCATTACTCAGTAGTTCTAGCAGATTAGATCTATTAGCTAACCTCATTAAATAGAGCTGACAATTAAAGCTAAAAAATAGCGAAAGATTTTGGTAGTCTAAAGCTGATTATTTTCAGTGCTTCTAATTAATTTAAATCAAACACTCATTGCAAATAAAAGTAAAAAATTATTTGAATACAATTTTTAACTTTTCGTAGAAACTTAATTCCATAAACAAATGAAAGTTTTCGCACCTAAAAATAAATTGTTTGAATAACTATTTATTTCAAAAAAAAAGTGCTGCACATTGCAATAATACTATTAGCAGCGAACATGAATAACATAAAAGTATTCTTTTCAATTTCATTGCAATTTTTTGAACAGAGTTAAATTGGCGCAATTTCACGTACAGTTAATCTTTCACGTAAGGTTGGGATAATCAGTGAAAAAATTCTAAACAATTATCGCATTTTAGCTTTGTAGACATTCACTGAAAAGGCATAATAAATATATGGTTAGTATGGCAATTTTTGCTTGCTTGTGAAAAAACGCTTTGCATGCATTAAACATTTTTCATCATATAAAGGTGAAAGGTTGTTTAAATTACTAATTTGATCAATAATAATCATTTTGGTTAATCAAATTAATTCATATAAAGAAAAGGGTGACATTATTTGAATAAAAAAATACGAAAAGTTAAAGAATAGAATGGCTACAAAACTACAAAAATTAAGACTTTTATTTTATATGCTTATTTTTCAAATTTAATACAACCAGTATTAGTTATCGATGAAGAATATTCAAATTCTTTCTTTTAAATAATATTTAATCTGAATATTTATAAATAGTTCATGTAGCATATAACAAATTACTAATTACGTACAAATAACATTATTAATGCAAATAAAATAAAGTATTACGTACAAAGTTCAATTTATTTCTAACACAATACAATATTTGGACATAAAAGTAAGTTGCAAAAAGCAAAATTATTGCCTAATTCAAATTAAATACCGTATATTTATACAAAACAATTCATATAACAAAAATTATGCAACTCAAATCAGTCATGAAACTAAATTAAATTCAACGAATATTCAATTCCAATTTTTTGACTAAAATGAATAAAAAATCAAAAGTTTTAGCATCGATTACAAATGACATTATCACGAGATCTAATCAATTAACAATGATATACCAAAAAAAATGATTAGCAAAAATACTTTCATTTACACAAAATATATTTAAGAAATAAATTCTAGCAGTTTACAAAACTATCGATATTCCAGTATTAAAGTCATACAAGTCCAGAATTTGCTTCAGAAATGATCAAAATACAAGTCATGCAAAATAATTCTCAATTAAAAAAGCAAAGAAATTTAACTAAACTTGTACTGCATTTATAGAATCAGTGCTTGACAAAAAGTAAAGTCTATTTAATAAACTCAAATCATTCACTTTTTTTCGCTCTTTTTTCAGTCTTACTTTAGATACACTAAGTCTATTTTTATTTGACAGAGTAATAATTTGAATTTTGTGCTTTAATTGCTTGTAATTTTTGGTAGAGATGTTTTTGGGCGGACTTATTGTATGAGAATTCTTTAATTAGTTGCTTTTCAATTCAGCCTAAAATTGGTTTGTTCATATCAAATAATTAATTATTCAGAGTTACTAAAATGTAACCTTGCAATATTGTCCTCGCAGCTCAAATATTCTAAGAGTATTTTCATTTTCATTGCTAAAATATACCAAACACACCAAAACATAAACTTAGTATCAATAAAATGAAAAATCAAAGTAAAACCAAAATAGCATAGTACTATATCACAAACTCATAATTATTCACACAACAATAGTATTAGTAAACAATTATTATTCAGAAATAATGAAAGTTTTTGATTCGATCATACGAGAATTCTGAATTGCATTTGGACAAGTCATTTTTGTAAATTGCATATCACATTCTTTGACTTCTACGGAACGTCCGAAACAAGGATAACCTCCATTATACGGTACTGGTAATGTACATTCTCGACTTCTGAACATTTAAAAAAAAGTATAATTCAGGTTATCCAAATTTTACATCTTTCATAGTGTATTGAAAATTAAACAAATATTAGCAAATTGAAGTAAACTTATTATAGGCAGAATTAATTTTGGGATAGTACAAAATCATACAGCATGCAAGTACCATGCAAAGTTAATTTGATGCACAATTCATTTTTAAATACAAAAAGTAGCATTTTGGCGATTTTAAGTTCAAAAACATATTTAGTATTTTGGCATTTTCAAATTCAAAAATATACTAAATACTTTGGCATTTTCAAATTTGAATAAATATAACAAAGTAAAGTTTGCTGTTCAATGTCAAGTGCGCATAGAAAAGAAATAGTCTTAATTTTTGATACGGTTTAACTTTTAATGATTAGAAATAATTTTAAAACTTACTGACATTGCTGCCAGCAATATCCTTTCCTCATGCTTTTGCAATTAAAAATGTACCAAAATTAAATTAAATTGCTACAAAATAAATTAAATACAATTTGGTCAAAAATGAAAAGATTTTTACGAAAAGTTTACTTTCGGTGATAATTTTATAAGCACAAACCTTGTTTTGAGTGCATTATTGCAACCAACAACACAAGATGACCATTCACTCCACTGAGACCATAGTCCATCCACAGAATCTTAAACTTATATTCCTGTATGCTATTGTTTGTATCCAAGAATTGCGATTTCTTTATATATAATCAGTATCAACAGAGGTTAATTTTATTTCATGCGTTATTGATTCTGGCGATGGATTGTGTCCCGGCACTCTGCTTGTACACGTCACGTGCTCATTTCTTGTACTAGTGGCGTGACGATCAATGATTATACTCACGTAAATTTACTCGTTGTTGTGAATACAGTAAACTGAGCACTTAGAAATGTCTAGCACTCGCTATTAACAGTGGGTTCAGATCTTAATCTTGCTGTACAAATATCTCTTTGGCTTTCTGCTTTTGTTTACAAGTAAAATCTCGATATTAAGTAGTGAAAGAATTTTATTTTGGCGTGGGTTTATTACAGTAAATTATTGACATGCGTTATGATTAAAAATATTTTAAAATACCTGAGTGTTTCAAAGAAATATGGAAATTTTAGAGCACTCAAAACCAATGCTAACCTTTACAAATGTCAGTCTTGCACAAGGTAGTCATGTAAGCAAGATCTGAGCATGTCTTGCCTACGCCTCGAGGAGTTGGCGAGGAGCAGTGCCGTTGTCGGGATTTAAATGAAAGGCCACATGTAGCAGAACAAACTGACCACGGAGTCCATGCACTCCATGATCCATTACGTGCTGTAAATTATCGTGCATGATGCAATGAAACTATGTGTTGTATAGAAAAATTGCGCCCCTAAATTTGATCTAAGCAGCATTTCAAACCGCAATTTGTTATAAAAATTTTCGTGCATTATAAATTAAATGTAAAAAATAATCATTAGCCTGAAATTAAGCATACATGTGAAATATCAATAAGCCATTTCGAATACGCATATTTTTTTCCTGAAATTAGAGCTAAAAGCAACCAAAACAAAAGACGTTTAAACTTTATGAAAATAGTAAAAAATCGCTTTAATTAATTTAAGATGCAAATTCTATTTATGATTATATTAAACTTGCATTGACGACACCGAGATGGATCACTACATGGTGTTAGCTCATAATCTGAACCAAAACATTGCAAACCACCATTTGATGGACGTGGATTTGAACAAAATCTGAAAGTATAAAAAGTTCATTTTAAATTAATTATACCGTTTCAGGTAGATAGGTTAGCATTACTTTTAGCACTGTGACATACATACGCTTTTAGTATAATTAAACGGTATTCAAAATTTTATTGCTATAATTAAAATAACCTTGTTCTGGATCGGTGTCCATTGGTACAGGAATCCGAGCATTGTGACCATTCTAACCAAGGAGTCCAGTTTCCATCTATGCGATTACCATTGCATACTTTATTAGGTGTGCAAATTTGTTGGTCAAATGAAAAACCGATGCAATATGAACCTCTAAAACATTTTAATTTTTATTAAATCACAAAAAAGTAGTGTAGATGTATTAAAAATAAAAATGCTGAGATTCCTTGTATAACAAACAAAATATGAATATTCAGAAGTAAATAAAGCAAAAGATGTGCAAATATCAGTATGATTTATACCTGTTCGAAGGAATTGGATTAGAACACATCCTATTTCGGATTTGATAACCACTGGTACCACATTTACTTGAGCACAAACTCCATTCACCCCAATGCGACCATTCACCATTTTCCGAAACTGAAAATTAACTCTGCAAATTACTTCTGTGTAAACAAATTCCATCTTTACTTATGGAAATGAGATAATTTTTACACCATTAAATATTTAGTAGTAATTGAGGATAAGCACAATATAATTATTTGCATACAACACGAATCTGGAATGCATGCACGTTTTTCAGTGATGGCGCCAACACAGAATCCTTGCAGTGATGGTTCTAAAATCTGACAGAATCGGCGTCGAAATTGATTCATTGTAAAACAACTACATTCAGACCAATTACTCCAATCGCTCCATTTTGGTACTAAAATAGAATTTTGCATTTATATGAATTTAAAATAAAAAACATTTTGCAGCAAAGTTTTATGCTAATAAAAAAGCAAAAAGTGCTTTTTATAAATTTATGCAAATAGTTTATCAAATTTAATAATTGTTTTATATTTTTAAATTTGTAATAGTGAATTTCTATTTAATAACAATAAAATATCCTTCCTTACTAATAGAATCCGATATAGTAGTAGTGATAAAATTAGGCATTATATTATCAAAACATGGTGTATTCTTGCATATGCGTTCTTGTTTAGATATTCCATTGCAAAGAAACACAAATGCTGCTTTACACTTTCTGAATCTGACCCGAACTCCTTCCCCACAAATTGCTGAACAAGGTGACCAATCTGACCAAGAGCTCCATTCATCACTACCTGCAGACACCTAATGCTAATACTAGCCATAAGATTCAAAAAGTTAAGACAGCACTTTACGTCAATTTCATCTTTCTTTTAAAGCTTTGTCACACAAAGTTAGATATTAATTTTTTACTGCATCCCGTGCATTGCAATTTATGCATAAATTATTACTTTAACAGAGCAATAAACTTGCGCAGTCATTCAATATTCTACCGTTGTTTTTGGCAATTTATTTTTATCACTATACTTTTTCTTCAAAATACGCACTTTTACTTTAACACTTCACTTTCAAGCTAATATCCTAAAAAGCATATTCTGCTGAATCGGTGATTCCCATTAATGCTTCTTCAAAATACGCACTTTTACTTTAGCACTTCCCTTTCAAGCTGATATTCTAAAAGGCACATTCTGCTGAACTGGCTTGAAAGTGCAGAATCCGCATATTTGTAGTTAATTATGCATAAAATGTCTTAACAATTAACTTCAGATCATTTTCGTCAACTCTTCAATTTGCATATTTTATTAGTGTTAGAACTTGCTTTGTTGTGTTGTGACAAGTAAATAGCCAAAATATTAGACAAAAGTGCGAAAATTGCAACATTCAGAAATTTTTTCAGAAGATATGCTTGTGACAAAAGAAAGCAGAAACTATCAAAATAAATACAAAACGCATGCAAAACAATGAATATTACTAGATACAAATTGTTACAGAAAAGACTTGTAGCATTAAAGCCAAGCAATTGCTTCTGAAGTATACATTGTGTTCGATTGATATATGAATACTTGTTTTTCTTTTATTGAATAATTAATTAATGAGTTCATTAATTACAAATAAATTAAATTAAATTAACTAAACAAAAGTTTAACTTTCATACTGATTTGTGTTTAATTTATGGGAAATTTTTTCCCATAAAAGACAATTTTTCATTTACTTTTAGCAAAAATAATTATTTAAAATGATTATGAGAATTCACTAGAAGTACCACATAATTTGTCGTTACAAATTTGAATATCAGTAGCTTGAGTTTCATTTGTACAATTTAAACCAAATCGACACGTTCGTTTTCTGAAATTGAGATGGTTTTTCTTTCATAAATCTGAAGTAAGCTTCACACATAAATCAAAACAGCTCAATACTTTGATTTAGTTTATGTTTTGAATTTGCATTTTCTTAAATAAGAATTGAATCTCTTTTTGATTCCGATGCTAATGTATCAAAGGTCAGGAATCTAAATCTATTTGAATGTCCATAAAAGTGGTAATTTATCTAAATATTCAGTATTTTGCCTACTTGAGCATATTTAATAAAAAGCTAGAGCTAAACAATATTAAGAAGTTAACGATAAAATATCCACATGTTTTGTTTATTACTTGTAAAATTTTTAACAATTTAAGGAAATGAGTACTTAAAATATAACTTATAAAAACTTAAAAATAAATAATGCAGGATTATTTCTGCAAAAGTAAAACTTTAAGTAATGCAGTTAACTAACCTTATTCGTGTTCCTATCCCACAAGTTCGAGAACACTCTTGCCATTCTTGCCATTCATCCCAAATATTTGATACTTTGACCTCTGCCACAATATTTTTTACAGAACGATTTGATAATTCTTTTTGATGAAACGTTTGTTTATCTTTTTCACACATATTCTCACAACTTTCTACTTCTTCTGATTCACCTGAAATTTTCATTTTGTAGCATACATTTATCAAAAAAAAAAAAAAATGAAAAATTATTATAAAAAGAGAAAATTATTAATTATTTTTTGATAATCCATTTTAGATCAAAAAATCATGCCAAAAAGTTTGCTAACACGTAAAATACCTTCACATTCCTCTTCCTTATCATTGCCTCGTATTTGACCCAATTGACAAACACGTTGACGGTGACGTGTTTGTTCACTTGTACACGTAAGGCATTTGCTCCATTCATTCCATGCAGACCATTCAGGACATGGACGTAAAACACATCGTCGTTGATCAAATGTTGAATCTGATTCTAGACAATTACCTAAAGTAACAAAAAATTCAAAAAATTATACTACATATCATATTGACAACTGCAAAAACACGTTTCATGCGATTCTGATTTGAATTATATCAAGTAAACACATTAAGCAATATTTTTTACATGCATATATCTCGTAATATGAAAATAAAATGTATATTCAGTGATTAAAGTAAATTATGTGGCGACAAGGAGTCATCTACGACTTGTATTTCAACGTAAGCACATAAAATTAAGTTATTCATTCACGAACCTGTAATACACTTGCGAATTCTGACTTGTGTACCTTCACCACAAGAAGTAGTACAAGGCATCCAATCAGCCCAGTCAGACCATAGTTTCATCCAACCTTTATTATCAGTGCAATCCTGAAATTTTTGAAAATTAATTTTAAAATAGCTAAACTTAAAACGGATAAATACCGTTATATGTCTGAAATACATTGAAGTTAATTATGCAAGCGTTTCAGTAAGATTATCCTAAAACTTGTCAGTTTAATTTTAATACAGTACTTCAAAAACTGTTGAGTACTTTTAATTTATCTCTTTATCTTACAAATTTTTCAATGCAGTCATGCTATCATGACTGCATTGAAAAATTTATCACGTTGCAAATAATTGAACAAACTTTTTCATTGCATGTTCTAGCTTGTTTTTGACCACTAGAACATAATAATCCATTACATAAACGTTCACGTAATTGAAAGCCTAATCCACAAGATACCGAACATGGCAACCAATCACCCCACGTTTCATGTAGGCACTTCTACAATAAATTTTGTTCAAAAATTTTGAATCAAAAATTATTTCTGAAAATAAATTATTTTAAAATAAAATTTGCTATTTAGATCTATTAATGCAAGTGTAGTAATTTTATATTGCATTAGTTCAATACTCGAAGGTAAATATGCATAACCTTTGTTTGACAAGATTCAACTTCACTTCCTTCACCTTTACAGTTTCTTCCTTGCGTACATTCACGTATTCTACTACGCTGCCCTGTACCACATGTTGCACTGCATGCAGACCATGTTCCCCATTTTTGCCATGTTGGACATTTATCCTTAAATCCAATTGCACTATGAACATGTTATAATTAATTAATAATTATTTTTCAATAATCAAACTGAATAATAATAGTGTTAGAGCTTTTATGTTATAATAAAATAAGATAATAATTATGAGCAAAAACCTTTTGACAAGGTTTTTCTTCTTGTTGCTGATCTGAACAATTTTCCTCTGGACAAATCTTCATTCTAGTTTGAACTCCTGCACCACAAGTAGCACTACATTCACTCCAAGCCGTCCATTCTGCTCGTATTTTACAAATTGATGATTCTGGAAGGCATGATCGAGTTTCGACCGATTCTCTGCTTTCGCATTCTGTCTGCGATTATTGTTTTTTTACTTCAGTAAATGTAGAAATTTGTACACTCAGTATATTAAATGAACTATTTGAATAAAAAATAACAGTCATTCTGTCATTCATTAAATTTTATAGTATGAAAATTAACCAGAAGACATCTACGTCTGCGTTGTTGTATGCCAACTGCATCACAAGGAGCCAAACATTCTGTCCACGTACTCCAATCACTCCAAATTTGTTTCTCAGAATTTGATGGACAGTCTTCCAAATTTTTGACAATTGCTTTATTATCACACATCAAATTCTAAAGCTTACATGCTTACTTTCATTTTTGTCACTTTTCTTTCAACTTCCACTCATAAATTGAAAATCTTATATAAAAATGCAGTGAGTTCCAACAAAATTTTATAATCTTTGTTTCATTAAATTAAAATTAAATAAGGTTAAATTTTTATGCAAAAATGTACTGAAATTAAAAGTTAATCCTTATTTACCAGACATTGCCCTCCAACGCAGTACTGTTTGAATCCACATGGGGTACCGTCTGGATATTGACCTTTGTTCCTGACCAACTCTGAACCTCTTAGACGACACCATACTTTGCATGATTGTGTACCGTCTGTAAATGTTTGACTGTATATTCGATTAACTGAATTGCGGATTATAATGGTAATAAAACATATAACTCTAAATTATTTCAGTTTGTTGATTCTTGCAACTTAGCCTAATACCAAAATCACTAAGTTCAGAAACTAAACAATAAAACTCGAACCATTTGATAAAACTGAATTCATTTTAATTCTATCATTTTGACATTTATTCATCACAATTTTTGATACAACAAGCCAAATCAAAACTTATTAGATTAAGATCAGAGAAATTTATTATTTTTGAAACATGTTTGAAAATTGAAAGCTCATTTTTTGAAAAAGTATTTCAAATACAAATCAACAATTTTTAAACAAAATAACGACTTGAATTATATTTCAAACTGTGAGACATCTGAATCTTTCGTTTGAAAAATACCTTATTCATTTTTGTAATAATCAGCGCTAAAATGGTATATAGAGCTATTTACGTAAATAAAACTTGAAATAAAATAGTCTTGAACTAAGCTTAAAATTGAATTAATTAGCGATTTGAACTTAAACATACGTGATAATTTAGCTCAGTGATCAATTCTGACTCAATAAAAAATGACTTCACTCAGAGTTGATTAACTCAACAAAATTTTAAAAAATGCTCTCTTAAACCATATTCAAATTATCGCTTTTGTTTGTAAAACTGAAATCACAAATGAATTAGAAAACGAAAACAATTCGAAATTACTTACGTAAAAATGCGTCACCCGTCAGTTGTGAATCAGGTTTTTCAATATCATTTTTTATAGCGGTACATAATTTTTTGCCATACTCAAGCATTGTCAGTGCTTTGCAAGTTGATTTTACACTGGCACAAGTCAAACCACGTATATTAGATCCAACACATTTTTTCCCACCATTATTTGGTCTTAAATATTACTTTAGAAAAGACTGATTGTTATATTTATTGAATGAGCAAAAATTTTGTTTCAGATTTTAAAAAATTTCAAAGGATATTTCTTGAGTTTTATTTGGTTTTGTTATTTGAAAGTAAAATTATTTGTTAATGTTAAAGAATATAGCTTATTTGCATGGTAAAATTTATATAGGTAATAACTTATAGGTTAATTTTTGACAAGTAAATTCTTGTCTGTTTTTAGTTATTGATTAATTCAAAGTATAACTTTGAGAAATTTACATAGAGGTATCATATACACTTTTTTTCGTAGCTTATAATTATTTTCGTAAAATTTATGTGGCATTAAAACTCACGCAGGTTGCGTACAAGTTCGCATTTGGGTATTGACTTGAATACTTCCTGTAATTTGACATTGGTTAATAGGACATTGTTTTCCTTTGCTGCTCCATTCTGTCCAGCTGCCGTCCACTCGGCCAGGAGCTTCTTGTCCATATGGCCATTGCTGACATTGCCCTTCAATGCAGAACTGCAATACCCAACACTCTCTACTCAAACTTTCTTGCTAGAAAATTCACTCTAAATCTGTAATTATTTTTTTTAGAAGTCATACTTTTAATCTTCTACCATCTTAATAATACAATTTTATGCAAACGTAACTTTTATAAATGATAAATTTGATTGCTTATTTTTGCTTAAACAGAGAAGTATTGCACTATCTACAAAACTAGTCAAACAGACTAAATTTGAGCAATATTCTCTAGCATAACAAACAATAATGCTACTAATTACTACTGTTATGCTAAAAAATTAAAGCCAGCATTAGCATTAGCACTAGAAGACTAGTCCGTATGACTATTTTGCATTATTTGAAGAAATTCAATTTAAAAAAATTATGAATAGTATTCGGTACTGACTAAAAATTACTTTATTATCCCCGCACCAACTGCCTTCTAATGCTGGATGAGCTGTTGATATTGTTGAGCCACTATTCCCACACCACAGTATACGACAAATATCCTAAAATATTAACGAATATTAGCACAATATCTTTTTCAAAATTCTCAATATTTTTAGTAAAACTTTTTGAAAGCACAAAGTAACAATTTATACTTGAAAACCAAATATTAATTAAATAAGCAAAGCAAAATTCTGCCGCCTTTTGTTTGTATTTTATTTAAATTATTTAAATTTGACGGAAATAATATATGTCGTATATAAAATTTAAATAAACTTCAAGCTAAAATATTGTACAAAACATTTAAATAGGTTTTCTAGGGCATTTTTTAAGAATATTTAAATTTGCATTAGTATATGAAAGTTACCGCTTATTTGAATAAATATTTATTGATTTTTAAATATTTTACAGTAACCAAATGTAAACATACAAAATTTTACAAAAATATTGAACATTATAAGTTGAGTTATTAAAATAATTTCTTGGAATTTAAAGTAAAATTTGTCAATATTACATATAATTGTTAAAATTAGGGCTCACATCCATTTTTCTTCCTTTGGGTATTTCCACCTCGAAACTTTTACCCCAAAAGTACGAGCACTGTTGGTCAGCCGTAAAGCGTTGTCCAGGCAAGCGTCCATCTTTTAAATGGTTATGAATCAAAAGTCCTTCAGATCCATCACGTAAGCAGTTACCTCGACCACTTTCACTAATAAATTGTTGTTCAATAATTAGCATAAATATGACTATTATATAGAAGAAAGGCGCGGAAAAAAAAATATCACTATAATAAAAAATTAAAATTTTGAATATTTTTTACTGATATTTGAAATGTTATGATAATTTTTGAATTAAATTGTACAAAATAACTTACTCTAAATGTAATAAAAATGCGTTAAATTCACGAACAGAGCATTCGCTCCATCTAGTTTTACCAGCTCCATTAACTGCTGCCATTAAGCAACAGTTTCGTCTACACCTATTTTGTATACCATCATGAACCATCCCCATACTAAAATGTTCCATAATTAAGTACATATTTTCTGCTTAACTTTTCAAATTTGATAACGAAATTCTAGAAAAGTTCTCTTAACCGTAATGCTAATATGGTGTTCTTTTTGACAAATTATTATTTTGATTAATTATCATAAAATTATATGCTATAATTAAATTAGATTAGTCAGTTGTGTCTTCACAAGGTTCAAAAACAATACTTATGTCCCATTTCATGAGCTAGAACAAATGATCGACCAAGATGTAATCCTTCTACTAAACTACACGCAAATATTTGATCACACATTCGAGCTACCGGTGCTACTCCAGCAACTGAGGTTGTCGTATGATATATATCATAACTTAAAAATAAAGTGATTTGCGATTAGTGATTTGTTTGCTTTATCATATTATCATATTGATCACCATTGAATATTTGTTTTGTTTCTCTTTTTGATTTAAATTTAAACTGTAATTAATTTCAAAACTTAAAATATATTTAATTTATTTTAGATACTTAAAATGAAAACTTTTAAGAAAATGGAAGTAAAGATTATTAGAAAAATTTTGATCAATCAATTTATCAGTTCTTAATTATTCGCAGGAGCCATATATGATAAGCATATTATTATTTTTTTAAATATTTTTAGAGATTAAACTAAAATCATTCAATACTTATCGCTTTGCTGCAATATTAAGTAATTTGTAATGTATAAATATGAAATTGTAATTAAATCATAAATGTTTTCGACAAAATAATTTAAAGAACTTTAGAAAGAAATTAAAAATTAAGTAAAAAATAAGTAACAAAATAATGTTTAGTATTCCAGAATAAATACTTATACTGCTAACTTGTCTTAACTGAGTCATTTTAGTTTTAGGCTAATAATGAATAATATTCATTACAAAGTTTTTAAAAATATTACAAAATTAATAAAGCAAAGTTTTTTATTAATTGTGTAACAATATTTCTGCAGCAATACGAATGAATATAAGTAATTATATTATTATAAATAATATTTCTTTAATATTATTTCAGTGATAAAATGTAGTTAATAACAACTTCTTACTGCCAAAATAACTGAGCAAAAATAAAAATACTTTAGAATAGTTCTTTTTCAATTCATCATTCTCTTTTTAATTTATTTAGACAATCTGATATTAGTTCATCATTATGACATACAAATTTGTATTGCATACAACGTACCCAGTAAGTAAAATGCCGTGATCCCAGTGCTCAGGATCTGTTAGATCACTTCCGGGATTTATTATTGCTTGATGGCGGCAAAATAAATTCAGTAATGCCTGAGCTTGTCCATTTCGATGTGCAATTGTTTCTAAGCCAAGCTGAAATGTAATCTTAGCAAAGTACTCAAGCATATAACAAACAAAAGTAATTTGTATCATTGACGTATAACGCTTACGCTTTGCATAGTTCATTTTACGTGACAAGAAAAGGTACTATTTGAATACAAAGAAAAACTGATTTGTATTAATTTACATTAATATACATTGAAGCGTTTAAAAAAAAATAAGCAATCTTAGTATATAAATTTTTATTATTCTTTAATATGAGTAATATTTTATCAGATAAAATATTACTTGTATTGAAAATATAACTATGTTTTTATTTAATATAATTATTTAAAATTTGCACTTGGCATAAACGAAAAAAGTTTATAAATTATGACCGGTTGTTTTTTCCACATTTCAAATCGCACAATAACAATATCCAAATTTGGACTCATTGATGATTGCTGGTAGAGTACGTGAACATTATTAATTAAAGCAAGGGAAAAATCAGTAAGATGTTGCTCTGCATCGATAGTGTATTCCCGTTGAAAATGCTCATAAAGTTTGGAATCAAGAAATAAGCCAACTTCTAAAGTTACTGGATCCATCTGTGGAAAGATAAATAAAGAATCCAGTTTTCCTTCTTCAGGAACCGTATAATTGAACGTCAGTCCTTCAGCTATAAAAATTTTATTAATTCTGTAATTAATTCGGTAATTATTTAATTAATTAATTAATTAATTAATTAACTTCTTCAAATCAATTTTGCTTAAATTTTGTCCAAATATTTCTTGATTATTTATTAAATTTCTTTATTAGTTTGTCTTAACTGCTATCTTCGTTTTTTGAATACAAAGCGTGAAATTCTCGTCATAAATTAGTACAAATAAATTTTTCATTTGGACAAGATATATTCTAGTAAATATTTAGTTGATGTAGCATTACATCAATTTGTTTGTAAATACTTTTTCTTGCAGACGTAAAAAAATTAAAGTAATCAGATGCTAATGCCATGCAGAAGCAATAAGTTTTACTGCTCAATTTCATATTGATATATTTTGAAAATGTTTTTAAACTTAATTTGCTCATTAAACTGATTAATAAATATTTAGTTTGAAATTAATGATATCATTAATAAATATTCATAATATTTATAATTAAAATTGACAGTTTTTTCAAAACTTTTGACACAATCAATTTTAATTTAACTTAAATTTTAGGCCAAACATTTGTTAATTTAAATACGAAATTAAATTATTATTACTAAAATTGAAATATTTGCAAGTTTAATGAATGTGATGTGCCAATTCATTTATTTCTTGCGATACTTGCGCAGCTCTGAAAGTAAAATGGAGAAAAAGAGAAAACAATAACAAATTAAGTAAAATTTTTGACTGATCTGTTTGCGCACCGGTTGGTTCAGTAAAATCTATTCAGATACTTTTTGCGTATTACCTAAAAATGGTCATCGACTTGACTAAAAATTAAGTTTTCAAGTTTGTAAGTTTCATAACAAAATCTAATCCATTAATTTTGTTAAATTTAGTCTTTTTATCTAGTCTAGTCTAGTACTTTTACTTGATAGAATTTGAATTTTTAAGATTATAAATGTATTTACATTTTATTTCAAAGAGATCAAATGTTAATATAGATCAAAATAAAATATAATAAGATCAAAATTGCAAAAAATATAAATGAAGCATGCATTGTTTAAGCAGAAAAATGTGAATGAGTATACAAAATTAATCAAAATTTGCATATATGCAAATGTATGAAGCAAGAAGCTTATAAGCGGACCTGTGATTGCATTAGCTATGCTAAGAGTGATATTAGCAGATTTATTGTACAAGCCATCATCAATTGACTTACTAACGTCACAAAATGCATCCTCAACTGATTGTTCGTTAAGTTTTATAATGTGTTCTTCTAAGGTACGTTCTAGACTTGACAACAGATTTGCATCACGTTTATATATAATATGCTTTTGTTGCATCTGAAATTCAGTTAAACAAGATTTCTCAAGATCGATCTTACATTGATTGATCGAATATCTTCTTAAAACTCTATGCATTATAAATCTCAATAATATTTGCACTGGAACCAAAATATTTTTAAACTTTTTTAAAATTTATTCAAATATTCAAAATTTGTTGATTGAATAGAAAAATTTAATGTTTTCGCTGAATTGAAACTACATATTTATAGAAATTTTGAATAAGCTTTAATACTTGACAATTTACATAATGTTTGACTGATGAATTTGATTGATACTACTTAATCAGATATTTTAATCACAATTATATCATAAAATCACTATTGTATTATTATTTCTTTAATGTAATGATCGAGTACGGTACTCTATCATGATTGGGCATAGTACCGTATCACTTATGCTAATGTTTGGTACGCTACCTTTATGCTGCTTACAATATTTATACTATTTCAGAAGCACAGTACTACTTTTATGATTTCTCAGCATAATTTCTTTACAAAAGTAAATATCATATCTCTCATCAGATGATACACAGTACCACAGGCAAGATAGAATAACGTTATCATATAGATACACTATGATGTAGTATTTTTCATATCAGTTGGCATAGCTTCATGAATATTTTCCGCATACGTAAATTAGCATACTATAAGGGGTATTTAATACCTTTTGTGTATGTGTAATTCTTTGTGGTAATGTTTGTAGCAAGAGGAAATGATCATCCATCATTATCGTACCCGTCAAATGTCCACAGTAAGAAATGGCTGCAGAAACATTATTGTGTGACCGTACTTTTCCGTGAAAATGACAATCTGCCTTTAAATGTTCTGGGAGTCCACGGCTTGAGAAATTTCTTTTACCTTCACGTATAACTGAGATCTAAACGCAGTTTTAATTACAGAAAATAAATAAATAAATAATTAAATTTATATGCTAAAAATGTCATACTCTTCTTCATAGACTGTACAGACCTGTGGCTCTATATTTATTAAAATAAATGACTGTAAATTATATGCATTCATTTATCACTGTTTATTGATTACAATGATCAAAATACTTATCAATCATATTTTTATTAGCTTGAGATAACCTTTTGTTACTTAAATAGACTGATGGAAATATTTTGATTCTTCTATTATTTGCAATAATTATGCATTTTTCAAAATTTTTCTTCTGCTCAAAAGTTTGCAAATAAGAAAAATGACTTTTCACAATGTGCAAGTAAGTATCTCCACACTTTTCGAGTTATTTTCACTTTATATTTTTATTTTTTTCGAAAATTGACAACGAAAATATATTTTTTATTCCAAACTATGACAAATTCGGAAATGGCTCTGAGTGTTATCATTGTTAAATAGCACTTTTTATCATTTATAACTTAACAATTATCAAAATTTAAAAGTTAGAGCAAACAACAATAAAAATAATTGTGATTGATAGCACTGTTTGCCTTTAAGTGTAATGTAAATTTTATTGCAACTTTTAAGCAATAAAATTATATTTAAAAGCGAATATTTCAAGCAGAAAACCGAATAATAATGATTTAAACAAAAATTATTCGAAAAATTTTAATAATTTTATCATTTTAAATACTAAACCCGAAAAGATTGTCATTATCACTGTTATCAACTGATAAGAATTTATGTCAGTCAGATTTGAAGTTTATTATCAAATATAACTTCAAATAAATCAAATATAAAATTTAAATATAGAATTCAAATAAATCAAATATAAAATTTAAATATAGAATTCAAATATAAAATTGAAATGTAGAATCCAAATGTAGAATTTGAATATAAATCATATTTTGATTGTGAACAAAAAAAAAATCGGTAAAAAGAGAATCACAACAATTTTTTTAAATACTTTGCCTGCAAAATTCATAATTAACTTTCTTGAAGTCAAAATTCAGCAAATGAGTAAAAATACCAGATGTATGTATCATTTTTATTCTGAAATATGTTTTTTCTTTCACAAATTTTTTTAGCTGTGAATTTATTGTGATAAATGAGAATAAGAAATATATCACTGACAAGTTTCTCTCTCATAAACAACAATTTTGAAAGAATCAGAAAAAATTCATTTAAAAAAATGACTTCAAAAACAATTGATTTTTGCATTGATCTTCGTAAGTATAAAAACTTACTTTATTAATTACTTAAATTAATTTATTAATAATTTACTTACCAAATGAGGACTGAGTAATTTGAGGTTAGGCTTGAGATCAATGCAAAAATTTTGATCCCAAGCATCGAATGATAAATACAAAGTACCATTATTGTACTTTTTTTGATTCACATTGACTAGTGCATATTCCGGAACGTCTACGTGACGTGATACGCCAAAAATTTGTTGAATATCTCGTTTTGTTAAATGATGATGAAAATCCTGCAATATCCGAGCAAAAAAAAATTAATCATTTAAGAAATTTCCATCTGTTTCTTCAACTTTTAAAAAAATATTGCCGCTATTAATAATTTTTGACATTGACTTTTCAACTGGTTCAAAGTCTGCATTTGTTTTTGCAACAAAATGCATATTTTTTATTGCCAAAATTAAATTATTTTACTAAAAGTGCTATTATTTTCACTAATTCTTGTTTTTGAAGACAATTTTTAAGAAAATATAATACTAATTTATCGAATATATCAGAATATAATATTAATTAATTTGATTACTTTTATGGCAAAAAAATAAAATTTAGGCCGTAGAAGATACTTAATCGAAAAACAATTTTTTGCGATTAAATACAAATTTGTTAATTTATTAATCATAAAATAAAAGAAGGACTGTCATGATCAAATCTTTATCGTATACATTGTATTATTCAAACATTAGACTTTGTAGTTATGTTTGAACGATTTAAACTGTGAATTTTTTAAAAAGTAATGTCATTTTTATTGTCTGCTACTACAGTTTGTTGTTATACTTTTGTTCAGTATTACTTTTTATAAGTTATTAATTTCTAAATGTGTTAAGGAATTTTTGTAATTAAACGTCTGAAATAAATTTGTATGATTTAATGCAAGTATTTGCATGAAATTGATTCTTTTGATATTCAATTCAATTGCTAAGTTTTTAATTTCTAAATCTGTTGAAAATCTTTCAAGTTCTTAGTCAACAATTATAACGTTCCATTGTGTAAACAAGTTTCTTAAATATATCACACAATATGCAAAACTTTTTGTAATAATAATTTTTGTAATATTTTCGTTATGTTTAGTTTATTCATCGTTTTTAAATACACTCGAATTACTATCATTTTAAATTTTATTTAATCTTCAGCGATATTTTTAATAAGTATTTTGCTAATATTTTAGGCTTAGAAAATATGAATAGCATAACGAGTTAAAATCATATTTGAAATGAAATTGAAATTAATTACCTGAGCAACATTTGTAGAAGACAGTAAAAGTAATAAAATGATTGTGACTGGAGTATTTTTTATCCTCAAACGATAATAGCATGATACAACAATTTCAGTCATCTTATCATTTGAATTTGCAGCTTATGCCATTAGTATAAATTGCAAAATTTATAAGCTCCACGTGATAAGTGAAGATATTACGTTAATTAACTTTAGGCGCAGTAGAAAGTATGCAAAGTAATAGTACACGCAAACTGATGTCAAATAATCATATCAGTATTAAAAATGAAAAAGCGCGAAAGCTTCTTCAAGATTTCACTGAAGAAATAACAAAACTACCATTAAAGAGAAGCAGTTTTTTGTAGGAATAATTAAATGGCTGAACAATCACTGTCAAACATCACACAGTCGTTTTGTTGTCGAATATTTATCACTGAAATAGCTGTCATCATCATCATTATCACCAACATCGCTGTCATCATTAACACTATTGTCATTATCACTTTCCTGGTTTTTCTTACTTTCATACAACATTTGTAATTAATTATACAAAAATGACTCCTTGTAATATGTTAGAATATAATGATATATCGTTTTGACTATCATTATCACCATTATTGTAGTCTTTATTCTTATCACTATCAGTATTATCGATATCATCATCATACACACATCGCAGTAATCTCAGTAACTGTAATTATGGATTTGATATTTAATTTTTTCAATTTTTTATAACTAAATTACGTTAGTACTACATATACCCGAATAACTTAATTCCATTATTACTACATATTTCCGAAATATCAAATATGCCAATTAAAAATTAAAAAAAAAGCTCCAAGGATAACAAAAAGAAAAAGTTTTTTAGTTATATTCTATCCAAAATTATATTCTAAACTGAAGAATAATTTAATGAATTGATTGATCTAATTAAATTATTCCATTTCATTTCATTTCGAGTTATTCATTTGTCAAATTTCATTGCTGAAATTAGGGTTTGTAATAGTATAGTTATCACAAAATCACTTTTCGTAAAATTAATCAGTGACTTTCATCAAATATGTCAACCTTTGCCTTCAAACTTTATTCTTTCTCGTATCATTTAATAAGATAAATTTCCGGGTCAAATCACAAGTTAACAATGATAAATTAGTAAAAAAAATTAGTAGTAATAAAATTAAACAAAATTTATATTAATTATGCTTTAATATATCTTTCAATCATACAATCACTAATCATGATTTTTTTTTCAAATATCAAAATTACTTTAAAATACTTTACTTATTGATGTTAAGTCAGCAGTGTATTTTATTTTACTAAATCCATTAATCTGTAATAACTTTTTTGAACTTATTCATAAAACTGCTTATGTTTTACAATCCATTTTTGTTGATATAAAAAAAGCTTTAAAAAATTATTTTGGCAAAAATTTACGAGTAAAAAGTTTGCGAGTCTTGAATTAATGCTAGCACACATTAATTAGTGTTAGCATACAATTAAGACTGTATAATTTTGAAATTTTAAAGATTGTATAATTTTTGACGTTTCAAACGTTTTTACAAATACAGATGGATGTACAATATCTATGGATATTAGTCATGATACAAAATTGAATATTTTGTTTATTTTCTATCAAAGTTGTGTTTTATACTTAGCTAAATAGTGAGATTAAGTTTCTTTCAATCTGATTTCAGGATTTGGCTAATAATTTTGCAAGAAATCAAAATAAAAAAAGGAAAATTGTACAATTTTATTTGTAAAAACGTTAAAACGTCGAAAATTAGAGATTTAAATTGCAAAAATGTAAATAGAAACGTAAATGATTATATGTAGTTAATGTGAAACAGTGATTTTAATAAGATATTTAGGTGTTGCATAAATGAAAGAGGCTGACGGTTCAGTGCTCCAAATCCTGAATTATTGTTATAATACATTGAATGTATAAATAAATAAATGAATAAACTGAATAAATATATAAATTAGTTCTTTTTATTTCAGTTCAAGCTCAAATAGATGCATATAAATGCTTATAAATGCATTTATTCAAATTTTAACTGAAATAAAAAAAATAAAATTTGTAAAAAGTTTACAAGAAATTAGTAAAAAACTAAAAGTAAATGGATTTTGTTTACTAATTAACTACATTTACTTTAATTACTGTAATCAAGTATTAAAACATTACTGTAAAGCTATGTTTAAGAAGAGATTTGATGCTAAATAAGGAATAAACGCGGCAAAAAATTTTCTCTTCTCAGTCAAAACCTTACTAAAATAGTAAATAAAACAATTATTAATGTTTTATTAATATTTTCGGCTTAGAATACTTTTGTGAGCAAAGGTTATCAGGGAAAATAAGTGCAAATATTACTTTTAAATACTATTAAAAGTTATGTTTCCATATATCTTAAAATGGATTGGATGCACAGAATATTGCAGTGTAATTAATTTCTCTGCAGAATTATTTGCAGAGAATGGAATTATTTATATCTTCTGTTTAACTTCTGAACTATGAATTTTTGATTTGAAATTAGATTATTACAATAATGAAAATTTGAATTTTAATTTTGCGGAAAAATAATGCGTAAAATTATTTACTTATCAAAAAATTATCAAATTTGTTTCCAAAAATTGCAATTTTCAAAATTAGCTAAAAATCACAAAACAAATTTTACAAGAACTTTTGTTTTAATTTAATTTTATACGTTTCTTTTAATTTTACAAGAAAATCTATGCAACAACTATGCTGTACTTTGAAATGCTGAAAGTTTTCGTTCAGAACTAATCTCTACAATTTCAATATTTATTTTTAAAAAGATAATATTTATAATAAATAAAGTTAACAATGCTAATTTAAAAAAAAAAGTAAGCAATGTTTTAGTAGCAAAAGTACGATTTTTTCAGAATAAAATAAAAATTAAGTTATAAATATTATTGAAATGTGACATACAAAAGAAATAACGAATTAAATATAGTGAAATAAATTTGCTGATTATATATGTGCATATATTGTGAATGCATACAGCATTGTTTATGGTTGGATAGATCTCTCGAGAAAAGAATAATGCCTTTTATTCGAGAATGAATCAAATTCATTCCTTCAGAATCATCATTTTTCAGTGCTTTCTCAATAATCTTGTTAACTTACAGCTATGCAAACATATTTTGTTGGCAAAATAAAAATTAAATTTGCAAAAATATTTTTTATAAGATTTTTGTTACAAATTGTAAACACTAAAAATTTACATGTATGTAATTATTATTTCATTTTATATATAAAAAATTTTTGAATTTCAAAACTGAAATGCACAACAAATCTAAAATTAATTTGATTAAAATATTTGATTTATTTGTTTTGGATTTAAATATATATTTGAGCATTTTTGATATTTAAATTAATGCACAAAAAATGGTTTCAGATTTGATCAGTTCAAATATTGTAGCTTTTTGTGATATTTGACAAAAAGCCTAAACTACTCTATTTTTAATTTGAATTAATAGTACTATATGCAATAGTTTTTAATTAAATGACAGAGAAATAAACGAATATTCATCGTAATGCAAAAATGCAAATTTTAAACTAAGTAAGAAGATTAAAACATAGATTAAGATTCAACATGTAGTCATGAAATCACTACTTTTGTTAGAATCATAAACTGTTAGTATTACTGCGAACTTATCATCTAGCAGTGATAATTCCAGCATTATTAATGTAGTCATAAAATTATTATACTCTTATTACGTAAATCATTATAGCACAAAATGATCGTTCCATGATGCCTTTTATACTTCACTCTTCAATGTTTCACGAACTACAAACTATGTCTTATCAAAGTTTACAAGAATTGTTTGCCAAACAAAATTCTTCGATAAACTTCTAAAAGATCAAAAATACATAAAAAATTATCAAAAATTGTAGTTGAAAAGTAAATAAATAACGTAAATTATAGCTAAAATTGAATATATTTCTTTTTATTAAAAAATGAATTTTAAAAAAATCATAATTTTACGCATTTTATTGCTATAAATGACTGCTTTCTAACATATAAACTGAATATGCAAACTGCTAAATGTCAAGAATTAAATTTAGAAATGACAGACTTAGTCATATTTCTCAAAGTTTGAAAAACTAGAATTTAATGAGATTAATTTACAAATTTATTTCCGAAAAATTTTCAAATTGATTCTATGCAATTTTTGCGTTGGTAAATCTCAATTAGTTTATGCATTTTGCAAAGTAAACATGAATTATATTCTAATATCAAACTTATCTAATTTTTTTTACTTGTAATGAATACTTGTACAAGCAGATTAGACAAACTTGTTTCCAAAACTGGTTTTAAAGCCAATACACAACAAAATGAGTAAAATGAAGTTTTAGTCGATTTGAATTCTGAATTTATTTCGAGCAAAATTTACAAAAAAATTACTCAAAGACAGTTAGTTGTTTTCTAAAAATGATTAAAAATACCAATTTTTTCAGTAAATTTATTTTTGTTTTTTGTAATTTTTAGTGCATTTTCAAAGATAAAATAATAAAAAATTAACTGCACAATAGCTATTTTGTCAGAAATAAACGCACAGTAACATAGCATTCCTAACGAAGATTTAAATACAAAAAGATTAATTTTGAGGGAGAATAACGTGTGATTAAATAAGCGAAAAAGTAAGGAAACTGTATTGTTACGTGAGCAACAAAGCAGAAGATATTAAGTTAAGAAAGTAATGAAAATTTTTGGCATAGCAAATGACGCATCAGACGTCTCATTTTAGGATATACATGTATAAAAACTTGTTAAAATGTATGCAGTCAAACTAAAATTCTCAAAAACAGGTTTGAAAAACTTGTTTGGCAAAAAGCTAACCAAAAGCTTACTTAGTTAAAGCATAAAAGTGAACGGAATAAGATGGGCTTTCAATTAAATAATTATGAATAACCTTTAATGTGTCATTTTCAAGTAATAATAAGAAATATAAATAAATTTAATAAGTATCAATTAAAGTTATTATGTCATTACACTCATTTGCTATTACACAAATTGTACTAGATTCGGATGAAATTTGGAATAGATTATTTAATAAAAAAAATGACTTTGTTACAATGTTAAATTTAAATACTAATA